TGGCCGAGGGAGCCGGTGTACAGCTTCCGGGTCATGTGGCCAGCATGACTAAGCCGCTTCTGGTGAACCAGAGCAGTGCACCGAAACACCGTTTACCTTCCCGCCAGAGCGGTACCTATTTATCTACTTGCACTTTGACATGCTATCGAACTGCTAGGTTGGCAGGAGCAGGGACCGAGCAACGGGAGCTCACCCTGTTGCGGGGATTCGAACCGCCCACCTTCTGATCAGCAAGTCCTAGCCTCTGTGGTTTAACCCACAGCGCCGCCCGGTTCCCCACCTCTCTCTCTACACACAAGCTTATTTATTCAGGTCACCTAAATTTAAGCAGAGACTATGCACTCACTGGGCGTTACATGTGAACAACTCAATATACTGCTCAAAGTTTTCCTGTACACAGATGACCCACTTGTTGTAAAGATCCCTTAAATGTATTTCAGAAGTGGGAGGACTTGGCAGGAAAGGTTCGCTGATAGCAAGGGGAAAACTGTTGCAAGGCGGGGCCCAAACCTCTGATAATAATTTGGGCTGGACATGTAATAGGCTATGGATTTCCGAAGTGTCTGTGTAGGGGCTGATGTATTTGTTCATAATCCAAATCCCTCAAGGTTCCGATACCGGCCATCATTGTTAGTTTGAATCTACAGAAAGCACTTATGCTTGCTAACAGACAACCTCCCTGATTTATTAGGTCTGCATGGTGTGTTCTGTCAAGAGTGCCAGAAATTCCCTGCTGATCTATTACTCACCCAGCAGCTCTCAAACACTCCTAATTGATGTAACAGAAACATATTGACAGTGACACAGTAACGTGCTCTATGATAGGGTTACAGAAATGGACTAGACAGTTGTTCCCAGAGCTTCAGTGCCCGTTGACGAATGAAAATGCATCTTCCGTTATCTTGCATCAGATGCTGGCCACTCACAGATCAGTGTTTTTTCCCCTCCCCAGATCTCACACTGAAATTAAGAAGGCTGGTTTATGCATTATCCATATATCACAGCACCCGTTGTTTGAATGTTCCATGTTGTACCAGTTATCAAGTTATCAAAACTCCAATTATGCGTGTGCCTGGGGTTACTAAGAATGAACAAATCTGTCAGTTTCAGTTTCTCCCAGTTTCTCATTTTACCAATCCTTAAATTCAGTTCTCCACACCAGTTTGCACTGTTTAAACAAAAAATTCTCAGGGAAATCTGCCAAAAAATTTTGTGTGATTTTCTCTTAGTAGCCACATTTTTCTACGTAATTTTGCCTGATACAGTGGTACCTTGGGTTAAGTACTTAATTCATTCCGTAGGTCCGTTCTTAACCTGAAGCTGTTCTTAACCTGAAGCACCACTTTAGCTAATGGGGTCTCCTGCTGCTGCCGCGCTGCCGGAGCACGATTTCTGTTCTCATCCTGAAGCAAAGTTCTTAACCCGAGGTAATATTTCTGGGTTAGCGGAGTCTGTAACCTGAAGCGTATGTAACCTGAAGCGTATGTAACCCAAGGCACCACTGTATTCACATTCTTTGCAGAGCAGTTTTCCTAATACGGTGTATATTTGTTTGTTATTTACACCGACATATGTATCTGCGTGCCAAATATAGTTATGCATTTTTTTGCACAAATTAATTGGCTGAAGAGATGCATTACAAAAATTCAGATGATGGTGTATTTTGAAGGATGTCTGTTTTTCAGTTTGCATATTGTCTCAGAAGCTTCAGATTAGGTTAGTTTGCCTTTAAATGCAAACTGAATAACATTTCTCCTCAGTCCTCAATCAGTAAGTGCCCTTCAGACTGGAGTAGGGTTGGCATACGAATCAGGCTGCATGTAGGATGTTTTCATATATTTTTTAAAAAGCTTTAAAAATCCAAGAAAAGCCCCAAATTTTTTTGGGGGGGGGAGTTGGGGGGGGATTGGAGGTAGCTGACATGGTACAGTTCAGATATTGCTGGACTACAACTCCCATCATCCCCCATTGACCATGCTAGCTGGGGCTATCTATATATCATTTTTCATATACCGTATTTTTCGCTCTATAAGATGCACCAGACCACAAGACGCACCTAGTTTTTGGAGGAGGAAAACAAGAAAAAAAATATTCTGAATCTCAGAAGCCAGAACAGCAAGAGGGATCGCTGCGCAGTGAAAGCAGCAACCCTTCTTGCTGTTCTGGCTTCTGGGATAGCTGCGTAGCATGCATTCACTCCATAAGGCGCACACAAATTTCCCCTTACTTTTTAGGAGTGAAAAAGTGAGTCTTATAGAGCAAAAAATACGGTAGTTTTTTCTTAAAGCATAATATGCTGTCAATTTTTTTTATGCATATTCCACAATCTTCTAACAATGCTTCTAACTCTATATTATGACCAATGTCTATTGCCCAATGTATCAATGAGGATTTTATTTGTTCATCCTTTGTTTCCCATTCCAATAGTATATTGTACATTTTAGACAGCACTTTAACATTACATTCTAATAGGTCTCTCTCCAGTTGTGATACTTGTTCCCCAAACCCTTGTCTCCTCTCTTTCTTAAATACTTCATTTAAGTGATAATATTGTATCCCTGTTGTTAACATTCCTGATAAGTTCTCAGATTCTTTTAGTTTAAACTCTCCTCCCTCTTCTCTTAATAAATTTCTATAAGTTGCCCAACTTTCCAACATATTCTTTTTCATTACTGCTTTAAACCACAGAGCCTAGGATTTGCCGATCAGAAGGTTGGCGGTTCGAATCCCCGCGACCGGGTGAGCTCCCGTTGCTCGGTCCCTGCTCCTGCCAACCTAGCAGTTCGAAAGCACGTCAAAGTGCAAGTAGATAAATAGGTACCACTCCGGCGGGAAGGTAAACGGCGTTTCCGTGCGCTGCTCTGGTTCGCCAGAAGCGGCTTAGTCCTGCTGGCCACATGACCCGGAAGCTGTACGCCGGCTCTCTCGGCCAATAAAGCAAGATGAGCACCGCAACCCCAGAGTCGTCTGTGACTGGACCTAACGGTCAGGGGTCCCTTTACCCTTTACCTTTATGGCTTCCAATGGAGAAAGCCAAAGTGGTGTTTTTGTCTCCAAAGAGTTTTTATATTTATCCCGTACTCTACATAATTCCCCCCCCCCCCCGATTATATGTTTTGTAAATCCTTTATGTACTTTCACCTTTTCATGCCACAAGTAGGCGTGCCAATGGCTGGCATCCCCTTTTCAAGCCATCAAAGTTGGTGGCTGCTGCCCCCACATGGCGGTGACTCCCATAGCCCCAATTGTTCAACTGTTTGCAGTGTGGCATACTTCCTTTCGTCTGTTCCATAGTCAAATTTCACACAATTCAGGTGCATTAGATTCCCACAAGGTTGTAGTATTAAGAGAGAGAGAGAGAGAGATGAGAGATGGGAATTATATCGACTGACATTCCTGCTGCTAGGAAAAAAGTTTTCTTATATGCAACCGCTGTGGTCAGAATGATTATAGCAAAAAATTGGAAGGGAGAAAAAGCTCCCTCAATAAGAGAATGGCAAATAAGATTTTGTGAATATATAGAATCAGCAAGACTTACAGCAGTGGTAAGAAGTCAATCAGACCAAAAACTGATAGAGGAGTGGACTTGTGTGAAGGAATACATCAAAAAGCATTGTTCTGGTATTAATATATCAATATGCAATGAATGAAACTTATAGAGTAAAAAATTAACAAGAAATGGGTGTAAGATGAGATAGTCAAAAATAATATTGATAACGCAGCGAAAAGAAGAAAAGAAACAAAGGAAGGCACATATAGGTGGAGGGAAGTCAAAATTTATGTCTGTATGTTTAGTTTGTATGTTTGTTTTCTTTTTTGTAATCTAAGTTGAGAGGTGTATGTATCTATGGATAATAAGTTTGTTTAGTGTTCTGGTTTGTGTTTGTAAGTATTGCATTTATCAATAAAAGTTTAAAAAAGAGAGAGATGAGAGAGAGAGAGAGAGAGAGAGAGAGAGAGAGAGAGATTTCATCTCCACATTTGCTCCACAACATGCATTCTTTTGGATAACGAAAAACAAACAAACAAACAAACATAAATTCCAAAATCCGTAGCAAGGCAATGCCTTTATTAGGCTAACCGAAAGATCACAGAAAGGGTGAAGGCATTCATAAGAATTTAATGCATAAGAACATAAGATGAGAAAGGAAACCCCACGTGGATCCTTTGTTGTTCTTGCTGACATGTGCAGAATAAAAAATGATCTGCCAACAGAATGACAATCTCATATGTGATATGCAGGACCTGCCACAAAATGCTGCAGAGCAGTGTGCTGAATTTCAGAACGCCAACTCTCCATGCTCGTTTTTGTGATACCCACTTCCTTTCCCCCTCCCACCCAATTTTCATTTTTCACTTCCCAATGGACAGTGAGTATTGTTGGGTAATTTTTTTTAAATTTAAATACTAATAAACTATACATTAAAAAGATGGCAAAATTGATCAGAAAGCTCAGGAACCAAGAATACCAAAACTTCAACAAAGAATGGGGAAAATTTATAATTTATCTTAACTGTTGATGTGTGATTGTATTGTTATAATTTTGTATTGGGGGCGCGGGTGGCACTGTGGTCTAAACCACTGAGCCTTCAGCTTGCCAATCAAAAGGTCGGCGGTTCAAATCCCCACAACGGGGTGAGCTCCCGTTGCTCTGTCCCAGCTCCTGCCAACCTAGCAGTTTGAAAGCACACCAGTGCAAGTAGATAAACAGGTAGCGCTCCAGTGGGAAGACAACCAGTGTTTCCGTGCACTTCTCTGGTTGCGCCAGAAGCGGCCACAAGACCTGGAAAAACTGTCTGCGGACAAACGCCGGCTTCCTTGGCCTGAAAAGCGAGATGAGCGCTGCAACTCCACAGTTGTTTGTGACTGGACTTAAATGTCAGGGGTCCCTTTACCTTTACCTTTAATTTTGTATTTGTAAGATCAAATAAAAATTATTTCAAAAAAACAAACTAACTATACATTAATAAGAAGTTCATCAAACAGTTATGTGAAGTGGTTGCAACTGCTCAGTGGGTTAGAGCATAGTGCTAATGATGCCAAGGTTGCAGGTTCGATCCCCGTATACGACAGCTGCATATTCCTGCATTGCACGGGGTTGGACTAGATGATCCTTAGGGTCCCTTTCAACTCTTTGATATGACATGATAAGGCAAGCAGATGGGCAGATGGCAACTGGTGGGACCTTACCCTTAATGGCTCAGCCTCCACCAGACTAAGTTCTACTTAGAGGAGATCAACTGAATGTACCTAAATTAATGAGGTCTACTAGTCTTGTAATGAGACGACAGTGGTACCTCGGGTTACATACGCTTCAGGTTAAATACGCTTCAGGTACAGACTCTGCTAACCCAGAAATAGTACCTCAGGTTAAGAACTTTGCTTCAGGATGAGAAGAGAAATCTTGCTCTGGTGGTGCGGCAGCAGCAGGAGGCCCCATTAGCTATAGTGGTGCTTCAGGTTAAGAACAGTTTCAGGTTAAGTACGGACCTCCGGAACGAATTAAGTACTTAACCTGAGGTACCACTGTACTAGTCTTGGATGCAGCTCTGCGCATTGACGTTTCACGTGCAGCAAACATTAGCCTTGTAACAAAAGCAGACCTTGCATGTTTCAAAACATATTTTTTTTTGCACCTGTGATACAAAAGCAAACACACCTTCACCCACCAGCATCCAGGAGTCCTCACCTTTCAGCAACCCCCCCACCCCCGAAGATAACTCTGTGGGCTCCCCCTCTTGCTACGCCATTGCCTGCAAGTTTATCCTGCAATCCCGCTTTTGTGTGGGTGCATCTCCTCCCGGCTGTTGACTGTCTAGCATGCTACCCACTTGTCACAAGATTACCTTTCATTTCCTTTTAAGTGCCGGTCGCAGGGCTGGAACTGATAGCAGGGCTCTCCGCGAGAATATTCAGCAGGAAGATCAAGCGCTTGGCAGAGAGAAGCTGCAGCTTAAAAGCCTTGAGCTGTGAAGGAAGCAGTGGCCGGAGGCGTTTTCTTACAGCTGCTCCACAGAGAAGGGGTGAAGGAACCAGAGCCCTACCATGAGGCAAGGCCGCTGCCTCAGGCAGCTGATATTAGGGGGCAGCAGCAACAACAACAACCCCATGGCTTTTCTTCCTGGTCCACCCTAGTCATCCCCTTCTGATGAAGGGCAGAGCTGTGATAGCCACATGGCAAGTCCTGCACCCCCTAAAGTAATGGAAGATGCCCCTCTTTCTAGAATTGAAGAAGGAATCAATCGCTGGCAAAGTTAGCTTCCATCCATGGGCATGGGGTGAGGTGGGGAGGCGCCGTATTAGGCCAGTCCTGGGTGGACTCTAGCTACCACCATCCCTGGTCGTTGGCCAAACTGGCTGGGGCTGATGGGAGTTGGAGTCCAGCAACATCTGGAGGGCTGCAATTTCCCCACTACCAGGGCCGGATTTAGGTTTGATGAGGCCCTAAGCTACTGAAGATAATGGGGCCCTTTATATGTCCTTTGTCAACAACAAACTGACACTGTTTTTTGTGTTGAATATATGCTATAAGGTAATTTATGGACCGAATAGGTATCTAAAGCACATAACAAAATATGTATTTTATCAAAGTTTTTATCAAAGTAATTGTTGAAAAGTCAATGCAGAATGCAAAGTCTATGCAGAATGTAGGCACCCTATATATAGAAATGAGCAAACCAGTGATATTTTAGGGGGAAGTACCATATTTTTTGCTCTATAAGAGTCACTTTTTCCCTCCTCAAAAGTAAGGGGAAATGTGTGTGCATCTTATGGAGTGAATGCAGGCTGCGCAGCTATCGCAGAAGCCAGAACAGCAAGAGGGATTGCTGCTTTCGCTGCGCAGCGATCCCTCTTGCTGTTCTGGCTTCTGAGATTCAGAATATTTTTTTTCTTGTTTTCCTCCTCCAAAAACTAGGTGTGTCTTGTGGTCTGGTGCATCTTATAGAGCGAAAAATATGGTATATTAATAGTGAAATACAATTAAGAAGAAGTATATTAACTGTGAAATAATTATTAAGCTCTAACTTAAAATGATTTTTTAAATAACAAACTTAATAATGCAAACACATTGGCATTTGGTAATAACAAAAGTTCCTTTAGAAACACAATTTACAAAGACTCATAATTTTGTTGCGGTCCCCAAGAGAGTGGGGCCCTAAGTTATAGCTTGTTTAGCTTATATATAAATCTGGCACTGCCCACTACTCTGAGAGTTGCATGACACTCTTCCCCTAATACCATCAATTTGGTATGCAGCTGGTCACATTCACCCCAAGCATTTAGAGCACTAGGATACTGCTTTAAACAGTCAGAATGGTTAGGAGACTTCCACTACCTTCCCAGAGCTACAACATCCAGAGTTCATTGGGAAGAAAGACTGGTTGCTAAACCACTCTGGAAATTGTAGCTCTGTGAGGGAAAAGACGTCTCCTATCAACTCTGAGCGCCCCTAACAAACTACATCTCCCAGAATTCTTTGGGCGAAGCTGCAACTGGTATCAAAGTACTTTAAATGTTTGGGGTCAATGTGGCCCTAGACCTCTGAGGCAAAGGTGGCGACATGGGAAGGAGAAAACAAGTCAACAAAATCCCTAGGAAATATTTTTTACTGCAGGCAAAACCAGCCAGGGAGAACCCAGAGCTCGCCATTGTTCTGAAGATGATACCTTCATAAGACTTACAGTGGTTCCCAAACTGCCAGGTAACCAAAGTTCACAAGGAGCGTCCATGCTTTCCTCATTTCCCTTGATTGATGCTGAAGGGGGAAGCCTTGGGCTGGTCAGTGAGGTCTGTTTTCGTTGCCTCCACATGGCGGATGAGGTGCCACCGTCCTGGAGGCTACTTTGCTGCTGTAGGTCCTGGAAGCTGGAGGTGCCATCATCTTTGTGGGGTGCTTCTTGGGGGCTGCTTTGGGGATCGCAGGTGGCAAGATAGTGATATTAGGCTGCCCAGGCTCCACAGGGTCTGAATTCGATCTGGACAAACTCGACACAAAGCCGTTCTGAGCTGTGATGGTGTTCACGGCTCGGAGCATCGCCTGGTTCCTGCTGGAGATGGGCAGAGGATGGAGTGTCGGCACCGACCAGGATTTGAATTTCTCTTCTGTCGAAACCTTTGCACTCCCCAACTTGGAAGCTATGGCAATCCTGTGGTGGCTCCCGTTGAGCTGGTCAAGGAACTGCTCATCGAGCTCCTCAAGGGGGCTCAGGTCTGAAACCTGGAGGAAGTGATGGTCATTATAGGCCTGGACGGTCTCACGGAGGCTGCTCAGCTCTTCCACGACCTCCTTCTTCAGGGACTCGATGCTGGCTGTTACCTCTCCCTTCAGCTCTGCCAGCTCCCTCTGCAAGACTTTTTCTATCTCTGCAGGAAGTCCGTTGGTACAGGAGCAGGCACGGGTGGTTGGGTAACTATGCAGTCCACAGGCTGGGCACTGCTCATCCAACCCCGCATTGCTGCTGGCTGGTGATGCTCGATCATCTCCTTTCCCGTGGACCATTCTCCCCACCAGCTCTGCCAGCTGACTGCCCAGGTTTTGATCTTCTTGCTGCTCCTGCATGGAAAACTGGGCTTGGAGATGACTCCGCAGCTCGGCCATACGCTTTAGATCTACACTCTTGCTCTTGGACTTGGGAAGTTCAGGGCAAAAACTTTCCTCTTGGCCTTTGCCTCCACCATCTTGCTCTCCTCCTCTTTCTAGAGATGAAGTAGACTTCTTGCTTCCATCATCTTGCTCTCCTCTTTCTAGAGATGCAGAGGACTTCTTGCCTCCCCCATCTTGCTCTTCTCCTCTTTCTAGAGATGCAGAGGACTTCTTGCCTCCACCATCTTGCTCTTCTCCTCTTCCTAGAGATGAAGTAGACTTCTTGCCTCCACCATCTTGCTCTTCTCCTCTTTCTAGAGATGCAGAGGACTTCTTGCCTCCCCCATCTTGCTCTTCTCCTCTTTCTAGAGATGCAGAGGACTTCTCACCTCCATCATCTTGCTCTCCTCCTTCTAGAGATGCAGAGGTCTTCTTGTCTGCATCATTTTGTTCCTTCCCTGTTTCTGGAGATTCAACGGACACCTTCTCTCCATTGTTTTGCTCTCCTCCTGTTTCTTGAGATCCAGAGGATGCCATCTCCTTCTTTTTCTTCCCCTCTTTCTTCTCTTTCTTGTGGCCTGTGGAAGACTCTCCGTCCTTCCGCAGCTCCCCTGTCGCTGCGTGAACGAGGCGCACATGATTCCAGGCCTTGGGGCCCTCCGAGGTCATCTCGCACCTACAAAATTATGTAGCAGCAGACAACAGCATGTGTGGCTGTTTCTGCCTGCACACTGGAAGCTGAGTGCTTGACTCTTACCTAACAGATCAACAGATGAGTGCTGGAGAATCCCAAAGGGAAGGTGCAGAGGGACCTGGAGGGGGGCGTGGCCTAAAGCTATTGCTATAGTTACCGAGACGCCTTGGCCTTCCAAGGTTTGTAGCTGCAGTGAATTCTCCAGAGATGCTGCAGCTTACGATGTTGAGGATAGTCTAGCAACCTGGCAAAAAAGGCTCATTTTGAAGAAGAGGACAAAATGACTTCTCCCACATTCTATGGGATTTTTATCCTCGCCGCACTGCCGTGGATCTCTAATTAAAAAGAGGATAGCAGACCTTCCAAGTGTCCCTATTTTCCAGAGACAGTCCCAAATTTACAGAAGCCGTCCCAGCTTCCCTATACAGTGCTGCCTTCAGATGTCTTCTGAAGGTTGTATCGTTACTGGTCTCCTTGGCTCGGGGGTGGTGGTGGTGGTGGTGGTCACATAACTCCATCCCCTCCAACATATCTCGGATGAAAATCGGGACGTCCTAAGGAAAAGTGGGACATTCGCCAGTGTTATGGTTTAAGAGAAAATTATATGAAAATTGATATATAGATAGCCCCAGCTAACATGGTCAATAGGGGAATGATGGGAGTTGTAGTCCAGCAATATCCGAACTGTACCATGTCAGCTACCTCCAATCTTGGGTTGCCATATCTGGATGAGTTGTTGGGCCTTTTTGGGAACATCGCCCCCCTCCAAAAAAGCAACAATTTCTTGGATTTTGAAAGCAGCACGATTTGTATGGCAGCCCTGCAGATTGAGGAGAAATGTTGTTCAGTTGTTCAGCAGTCATGGTTTCTTGAACTGGTCTTTGACCGTAATAAAAAATAAATAAAAATGAAATGAGCAGTCATGGTTTATGCCAAAGAACCCTGGGAGTTGTAGTTTTGTTAAGGGTGCTAAGGGAGCTACAGTTCCCAGAGTTCTGTGAGAGGAGGGATTGACCTTTAAACCACTCTGAAAATTGCAGCTCTGTGAAGGGAATAGGGGTCTCCTAACAATTCTCAACACCCCTAACAAATTTCATTTCCCAGGATGCTTTGGGGGAAACCACGGCTATTTAAACTGGTATGAAACTGTTTTAAGTGTATAGTGCAGACAGGGGCCTAAGTATAATTGCATAATGGCATTTGAGATGGACTTTGCATCCTTTACTGTGAAGAGTGTTCATTTCATGCCTTTTAGGGAGACAAATCATGGGCCAAATGAGAGGAAGTGGCTACAATCGCTTTGGCGTTCTCTGTGTCCTTTGCTTGTCTGCTTCAATCTGTCCTCTCCCTTTAAGATATAGCCTTTCAAGATAATAACATGAAATATAATTGCTCAGTCGGCCCATCCATGAGACGCATGCAAAATGCCTTGATAGGCTTTGATCCTAAGCTAAGATAACTTCAAGAAGATCACAGAAAGAAAGTTTCCTGTCCTCTCCTCCTCTCTGCGGCAACACCCTCCAAAAAGTCTCTCCAGAAGGTCAAGAAATACCCTTGGACAATGAGGGATGGGACATGGTGGGGCTGTTGGAGTGGGCAATTGCCCCCAAATCAGGCTTGGATTCCCACTTAAGTGGAAAGGCACAGTGACACCACTGGGACAGGGGAGAGAGGAACATAGGAAGTTGTTTTACGTCAAGTGAGGCCATTGGTCCATCTTGCTAAGTTGTTGTTGTTGTTTAGTCGTTTAGTCGTGTCCGACTCTTCATGACCCCATGGACCAGAGCACGCCAGGCACTCCTGTCCTCCACTGCCTCCCGCAGCTTGGTCAAACTCATGCTGGTAGCTTCGAGAACACTGTCCAGCCATCTCGTCCTCTGTCATCCCCTTCTCCTTGTGCCCTCAATCTTTCCCAACATCAGGGTCTTTTCCAGGGAGTCTTCTCTTCTCATGAGGTGGCCAAAGTATTGGAGTCTCAGCTTCAGGATCTGTCCTTCCAGTGAGCACTCAGGGTTGATTTCCTTCAGAATGGATAGGTTTGATCTTCTTGCAGTCCATGGGACTCTCAAGAGTCTCCTCCAGCACCATAATTCAAAAGCATCAATCCTTCGGTTGTTCAGCTCTCACTTCCATACATCACTACTGGGAAAACCATTGCTTTAACTATACAGACCTTGGTCGGCAAGGTGATGTCTCTGCTTTTTAAGATGCTGTTTAGGTTTGTCATTGCTTTTCTCCCAAGAAGCAGGCGTCTTTTAATTTCATGACTGCTGTTACCATCTGCAGTGATCATGGAGCCCAAGAAAGTAAAATTTCTCACTGCCTCCATTTCTTCCCCGATAACTGGCAGTAGCTGTCCAGGGTTTTTCCCAGCCTTACCTGAAGATGCCCTGATTATTTTCTATGACATATTGGAGGGTAATAATCATTCAACAACAGGCCTGACATGGTAGCATGGGAACAATTGTGGAAAATGGACATAAAATTTATAGCATGCTACAGTCTAAGAGAAAATTACATGAAAATGATACATTGATGGTATCTAACACCAAGTAAGTTGGCAAAAATGTCTAAATCTAAATCAAATAAGTGTTGTAAATGTAAAGAGAAAGAAGGTTCTTTATCATATGTGGTGGACTTGTAGTAAGGTTAAAGCTTACTGGGAAATGACATATAATGAAATGAGAAGGATGTTTACAATAACCTTTGTAAGGGAAAGAACTACCTAAATTGTGTAGAAATGTATTCATGTATGATACTACAGCGGCAAGAATGTTACTCGCCCCAAATGAAAGAAGTCCCAGCAAAGGAAGAATGGATACAAAAACTTACGAAATATGCAGAAATGGTGAAACTTACTGGAAGAATAAGGAATCAAGGTAACAAAACTTTTATAAAAGAATCAAAGTAGTTTTTTGAATATTTACAGATAAATTATAAGCAGATAAAAATATTGGCAGGATTATTGTAACAACCTGCTGTTTTATAAGAGTGTATATTTAAAGAAGATTAATAAATGAGTAAATTAAGTTAATTTGGATTTGCAGAAGAGATTAAAAACAAATTTAAGGAACCACAGAAAGAGGGAGGAGGGAAGTCAAGTTTTGAAATGTCAAAATGATTGTAAAATTAGTGAAATGTATAAACCTTAAAAGTATTATTATTATTATTAATTCAACAACCAGCCTGAGCACTCCTAGTCTCTGTGTTGAAAGGGGTCTTGAGGGGTGCTCCTCTCAGTCGCATGGCTACAGCAGGAGCCTGACCTCTCAGCTCCACAGAAATCTCTATGCTCTTCCATGTATTGTTTGCATCTGCGCCCTGGTAAGTTAATTGGGAGCTGAGGTGCTGTTTTCATTCTTTTGTCCTTGCTGTGTGGGTTCATTACGGATCCCTCAGTGCACCCTCCCTTTCCCCTGGGCCTCCTCATTGGCATGGACACTCAAAATGCACACAAGACGGCTGAAACCCGTAGGTGTCTTTTGGCACGGGAGCTGCGGCGGGCAGTGACCTTGGAGTGAGGTATCTGGGCTCGAGACGCCTGCAGGAACAACAGCGTTATGCTGTGATAATATAATGGGGAGAGGTGTGCAACAGCTCAGGTTTCTGCCTTGATGTATCTCAGATTCCTGTAACCAGAGGCCCCAGGATTTGCAACAGTGGTGAACTTGGGAGAAAACGTGCCAAGTAAAATGGACTGATTCCCCCCCTCTAAATACCGTATTTTTCGCTCTATAGGGCGCACCAGACCATAGGGCGCACCTAGATTTTAGGGGGGGGGAATAAAGGGGGAAAAAATTATTCCCCCCCCCCCAGCCCCAAAGAGCAAAGTAGCCAAGACAGTGAGCTGGATGGATCCCGCTAGCTGTCTTGGCTTCGTTTTTAGCCGCGGGGCTGGGGCGGGGGAAGCCCGCGCTTCACTCCCGGAGCTTGCAGATAGCTGCCTGAAGTTGGCGCTGCGCTCCCCGGGCTTCGGGCTGCAGGCTGCTATCTGCAAGCCTGGAGAGCGAGAGGGGTAGGGGCGCACCGACCCCTCTCGCTCTCCAGGCTTCAGCGAAAGCCTGCATTCGCTCCATAGGACGCACACACATTTCCCTTTCATTTTTGGAGGGGAAAAAGTGCATCCTATAGAGCGAAAAATACGGTACCTTGTGATCACAAGGTCAGTTTCAAGGGTGCATGATGCTGTCACCTTACTCAGCGGGTCTGGTGAGCGATTCCATAAGAAGACTCTACTTGATCATTCCAGTGGTCCATCACGCTCCCACATTGGCCAACCATATACCTATGGCATACCCTCCAACAACTTTGAAACCAAAATCCAGGATGCCATCTTTCCAGATGCCAACTTCCCAGTTTTTATTGTGAGAGCACTGTGGGCACTTTGGTTGCCATGATCTTCCATGAACTCATGACTGTCAGGGCAGCAGAGGAAACAACCTCCAGGGCAGGTTGCCAGGAACGGATAAGACAATGGAAAGTCCTTACCATCTGTTTTTTATTCAATATTTACAGAGAGAGGCTTGGAATAATGCCATTGTCCCTGGTGACTCTCTACCCTCTTTTTCTCCCACTTCCTCATTCGTCATCATCTTCCCTACAGGTGGTGCTGAGGGCCCTTTGCTTCTGAGTCCTTTGCTCTCCTACTTTCAAGGCTCACCAGGTTCTGGGAGAAGGGGTGGGATCTGGAATGCTTTCCAAAGACACTGAGTCCGTCAGCTGCCTCTAACCCTTGTGCTCCCTCCTCCTCCTCCTCTCCCATTATTTCCCAGCTTTCCCCCTCATCTTCCTCTGAGCTGTGACCTCCCTCAAACCCCTGTTGTAATTCTGAACTGTCTTCTTCTTCTCTTAAAGGGTCAGGCTCAGGGCCATCTTTACCCAGGGGTGCAAGGGGTGTGGGGCACTTGGGCGCTGAACTCTGGGGAGCACCCACCGCCCGCTGCTGAAGCAGCCTACGTGTATTGTATTGAGCTGC